AATCAACTCTCCTATAAGAGTATATAAGAGTAATAAACTAGAAAGATCAAGTTTGTTTTTTTTTTGGGACAATGGATCAGCGCAGAAAAAAAAAATAAATAAAAATAAAAAAGGAAGACAGAAAATAATCCCAAACAAAAGAACCAATGGGAACATATGATTATCTCATATCCACAAAGACATAAAAAAAAAAGAAGGCTTATTGTGCATAATTAAAACAAGTGCATGTGAAAAAAGACAAAGGTTTTGGTAAAGACTTGCAATTTAACATAAAATAATGGATTCGAGACTCGTGTCTACGCATAAGTAAAATAAGATTTGTACATAGATGCATCCAATTCTATTTATGGCGAAAATGGATGCGATACAAAAATTAATTTTCAAATCTTTCAAATCTTAATGTTATAAAAAAAAATAGAATCATATAATACGTAGAATATAATATTTTATTTATTTTTTATATTGAGCATCAAAAACTTGTTGTTGCTGTTGTGTTGAAATGGCAGCAGCAGTAAGCATCCCGTTCATAGTTTGTTGTTGTTGAGCCAACAAGCTTGTGACACAAAACTCCATATTATTTCCGAGATGATCATTTCTCATGGTTGGGGTGGCTGATGGTGTAACCATGTAAGGGGCACCAGGCGCGGCAGTCATTGGGATCATCATATCGAAATTTCCAGCGTTGTTCATATCAACACTAAATTGGGATATTTCTTGATTATTGACATTTTGTTGAAAATTATTAGCAGCAGGAGTTTTAACATTTTTACCACCAATGGTATTATGAACGGATTCTTTAGGAGATTGACGTGGTTGATAAGGATGATGTCTAATTTGATTTTGTTGAAGGGTAATTTGTTGCTGCTGATAAAGAGCGAGATTTTGAGAAGGTTGTTGAGAAGGTTGTGGTTGTAAGCGGTTTTGTAAATGTTGTTGTAAATGGTTTTTTAAATTTTGTTGTACTTGTTGCTGCGGTTGAGATCTATTATGCAAAATTCCTTCCAATGAATGATAATCAGTGTCCAAAAGTTGAGAAACCTCAACACATTTAACCAGATAAATTTTTGAATCATTTGGGATTTGATACAAAAATACAATTGATTCAGGTCGTTCTTGTAACGAAGGAGGACGAGCCGAACTATTAGCATCACAAGGAGGGTTAGGCTGAATATTTGGTTTAGAGACCGAAACAATTTTATTTTGGTTACTGGTATCGTTAGCAAAATATTGTTGTTGATTTGGCAAACAACATTGAGCAGCAATATTTTGGAGTTGGAAACCGGGCAAACCGGCCAAATTATTGGATATATTTACATAATTAGTTGGAATTATGTTTGAATATTGAGCAGGAGCGATTCGCAAAGGTTGGGCACCGGAAGACCGACTTGAATCAGGTGGGGGGGTACCATTGGCTCCATTATAAGCAGTGGTAATGATTGGAGGAGTTGGTAAGGAAGTGGTAATTTGATTTAAAGGACGTTGGTGTTGCATGTAAGATCCACCGGTTACTTCGAAATAATCGGGAGCGAGGTTGTTACTATTTTTATTTGAATCCATTTATATAATAGAAAAATAAAAAAATAAAAAAAAGGTAAAGAATGAAACAAAGAAAGAGAATAATCGTATCTATTAGTGAGATTACAAAGTAGAAGAAAAAAAAAAAAAAGCCAAGAAATAAAAAAAAGAATTAGCATTAAATAGAAATTTAAATAGAAATTCTTGAGGTAAACCAGAAAAAAAAATTTTTTGAGGTACCTCTAAAATTCCGAGTACTTACTTTTTAATCTGAAAAGGAGAGTAAAAATATATTTACAAATCAGATAATATTTATATATAATCTATTGTAAAAAACCAGCACAAGATTTTTTTATACGTAGAAAATGGACAAAACGTAAAGAGTACGCAAAAAAAAATCGAATTGACATAAACGAACCTTTTATATAGGTATTTTTATTTAGATACAAATAATTGAATTGATTAACAAACAATAGTGGCAGCCTCAAGAACCAAAAAAGGCTAAATTAACGCCGGTTTGTTTCTCTACATCTACATATATATTTATCATAAGTATGTTTTTTTTTTTAAGGGAACCTTCGAGTTTTCAAAGTTTTGTAATACTTTGAGACATCCATTTAGAGAGATGTATATAATACGCGCCAGCTCCTCGGAATCTCCACTATTTAATTTCCGAGTACGTACGAACGTGATGTCACGGTATCTATGCGACCGAATTTAAGCAATAGCCCCCGTTGAAAATATGCTGAAAATATGCAAGGATAAGCGCACCGTAACAAGTAAGATAAAGGAGAATGCATCGTACATTGTGTAGATGTATTATGTTTTAGATTGAATAATGTACAATACGGCTTCTGCATTTCATTTTTTACTGGATGAAATATAAAGCATTCATGCAATCCCATTAATAGGAACCTCTAAAATTTTCGATAGAAATTGTATAAATTACATGGGTGAATATTAATTGTATCACAAGGAAAATTTTTAAAATTGAATTTAAGTTGAATTTATTTGAATTTATTTTATTTGAAAATTTAATTGAAAAAAATATTATAATTGAGAATATCGATATTAATTAATTTTTAATTAATAACGTTAATCATTCAATTAATTAATTAATTAATTAATTAAATTTAACGTTAATGAATTAAATTAATTAAATTACATTATAGATCTGTCTGTATGAAGTGACAGCTGCATGTTTTTAAATTTCAAAAATTAATATAAAATTAATACGTAAATTTATTATGCTTAATATAAAAAAAAAAAAAAAAGTAAGCAAGTACAAAGTACATTTGGTTAAACGAACATCAGATGAATACATGAATACATTGTTGTTGGGTGAGTATTGATATGACAATTACAGAATTATGCGTAATGAATTTGGTTAATAACTAACTTAATTACGATTAATCGATTAACTAGGGAATATTAACTCTTTTTTTCGATAAAAGTAAATAGGAGAGTAAATAAGTGTAAATAAGTGTACAAATAACCCAAATCAGAACAAAGATGAACATAGTTTCAATCGATTAGTCGATATTAAAAATCTAAAAAAAAAGAGTAATAATTAAAACATAATAAATTTTAAGTTTTTAAAATGATAATATACGACTAAATTAATAAAATTTAATAAATTTAGATGATATAATATAGTAAAATTTGAAATCAAACAAAAACAGATCATCCTTTGTATTACTATTTGTCTAAATTATACAATACAATACTCAGTTCGCGAGATCTTCGTGTGACGTGCCCGCGAGACCTTCGTACAACATCCGCGAGACTTTGCTCGTGCAACGTTCGCGAAACACATATTATGAAAGCTATATATGTTTATGTCATATTAGAAGAAATTCTCGAACTTTAACTGAATTAGTTGAATTAGTTTGAATTACCTGATTTAAATATTATATTGTTTCGCAGAAATTACATTTTTCGATTTAAATATATTAATTAAATTCCTAAATATTAATATCAGAATAAAATGATTAATAAATGTGTAATAAATGTGTAATAAATGCGTAATCAATATGTAATAAATGCGTAATATGTGCTGTTAAAAA